CCTTCATGGACTCGACGAGTCCTTCTGTTTGTTTGGCCATCTTAACAGATTAAGCCCTTGCTCTCAAGATCTAAAGCTCATTCTTCGCTTGTTCACTGGAAATGACCTTTCTAAGGGTAAAGTTTCCAACTTTACCCGTTGATAGCCCTTTTTGAAGGGTTTAGCTAAAACCCTACTTCCTTTATGAAGTAAATCTTGCCCAAACAGCCTTAGTATCCCAAACCAAAGCATGAAAGCCTAGATACTAGTTAACCACATAAAGTCTCGAGCTTGCTTCCATGCATGGCCCCTTTAGGGTATAAAAGGCTATAACAACATCCTTAGGGTTTGCATTAGGCTCAAATGGCATAAAGTTTGCACCTTTATGCCTTTACAACCCTTAATGAATCCAAATTTGAAAGTATAATCAACTTGGGACATCCATGTCTCATAAATCATACTACTTGGACAAAAACCCCATAAAAGTGACCACAAAGAGATCTAATGAACTATAAGGCAAGTTGAGAGCTTGATTACCGGAAAGTGAAGAGGATGAAACGAAATCCCTGGATCTATAACCTTCTCCTTGAACCTTCAAGCTTCTTCTTCTTCTAGGCTTCAAAACACACAAAACCACTTAAAAATGGCTCACACACTCCCAAAATGCTCTAGGGTTTCATAGATTATGGTTTAGGACAAGGAGGCTGTAAATGAGGCCAAGGGGTGGGGATTAGGATGCTTAAATAGGGTGCAAAACCTCAAAAATAGGGTTTCACCCTGGCCGGGCTATTCGCCGAGTCAGGGACTCTACTCGCTGAGTAGATAGCTTAAACCCCACACATAGTCTGCCCTCTACTCGACGAGTTAGGGTCACTTAACTCGTCAAGTCCTTCTTACAAAATAGATAAATAATTAAATTAAATGCATACCGAAAAATTAGGTGTTACACTAAGTTTTTAAAAGCATATGAGAACAAGGTTGTCAAACTTTAGGAAAATATTTGAGATAAAATTTTAAAAGAGAACGCTTTAAGTACATTATATTGTTAAAATATGAAGGTTTATGTATATTCGGAATCAATTGAATTTAATAAATAATATGTTATTTTTCATTAAACTTGATACCCTAATTAATTTCCAATCTTGAAACTAATCACATCTTTGGAATCATTATAAACCGCTAAGTTGTATATAAAATATTTTTATTTTATTTCACAAAGCAAATGTGAAGTTACAAACTTTTGGAGGTAATATGAAATTTTCAATCAATGAATAAAAGAATTTGATTTTGGGGTTGGTTATGAAATAAAGAGAGAAGGTTAAGGACTAACATTGTAATTTTATTTTAAAACCAACTCAAAATGAAAAATTATAAAACTTGAGACTTGGAGAAAGTAATATGAAAATTCCAACCAAGGAGAAAAAATAGATTTAAGGGTAGATTATGCCATTATGGTATAGAGATGAAAAACTTTAGAGACTACCAATGTAATTTTACATTTATAAGAGCCTAGGAGGTACTCTACTTTGGTAATTTTATGAGTATATAATAAATTTCGGATATCAAATTTCTATAGGAGATTTTGGATAGGATAGTGATTTGCATATTTTGTTATTATATATAATAATTTATGTTTTATAAGATTTGTTTCATATGATTGTACTGTATAAAACATAATTTGTTATGAACATTGATCATTACCATTTTGGATATCTGAAATGTGGATATGAATTCGAATATCAAATTTACTATTGGAAATTTTTAGATAACGGTTTTGAACTCTCATAGTTAAAGGTGGTACTTTTTTTTTGGTTAGAAATAGTCGCTAAATGCAGTATTTAAAGTAAATATATTTTTGTTTTTTGTTTGTATTATTATTATTATAATTATTATTATTATTATTTTTTGTTAATAACTAAGAAAAAACTGTAATATTTTTTTTTGTTTGTATCTTATTTTTCTAGCTGATGCTACCAAAAACATAATGTTGCATACCATAGACAATATCATACCATAAATTCTTCCGATGATTGCTTTCACTCAATTTAATTAGCTAATAAAACTTAGGAAGCATAACGTTGTTGATTTTAGTACCTTATCTGTAAACCTATTTGTTTATTTAAAGGTGAAATTTAGAGGGCGGGGACGGGGTAACGAGAAAATTTCCGGGGTAGGGGCGGGTGAACGGAGAAATTTTCGAGCAAGGGCAGGGGTACGGGAAAATTTCGGAGGCAAGGGTAGGAAGACTGGACATTTCGTTGTTAATTTAAGTACCTTATCTGTAAACATATTTGGGAGAAGGGGTAGGATGGCTGGATGAATGGGGAAATTTCGGGGGCAAGGGCAGGGGATATACTCATCGTCCCGTTTTCCCCCGTTAACATCCATATCGAGTCTAAAAGTTAATTTCAACAAGTCAAATGTCTATGACATTGGTGTGTCGGCTAATGATGTCTCGAATTGTATCGAAATTCTTGGTTGTGATGTCGGGACCATTCATTTCAATTATCTAGGTGTTCCGGTGGGGGATAATCTGAGTCTCAAAAGAAATTGGACCCCTATTGTTGATAGATTTCATAATTGTCTTTCTTCATGGAAAGCTAAGACTCTCTTTTGCGGGGAGACTAACAATTGTGAAGTCTGTTCTTAGCCGTCTCCCGTTGTATTTCTTGTTTCTGTTCTTAGTCTGTTCTTGATAATTTCATAATTGTCTTTCTTCATGGAAAGCTAAGACTCTCTTTTGCGGGGAGACTAACAATTGTGAAGTCTGTTCTTAGCCGTCTCTCGTTGTATTTCTTGTTTTTGTTCAAAGCTCCAAAATCGATTATTGATTTTCTTGATAATTTGAGGAGACGGTTTCTATCGGGTGGTTGTGATGAGAAAAATAAAATAAATTGGGTGGCTTGGAATGTCATCCTTGGTGCTAAAGATAAAGGAGGCTCGAGGGTCCGGTCTTTATGTTCTCTAAATTGGGCTCTTTTAATCAAATGGATTTGGCGCTTTCCCTTTTGAGTCGTGTAATTTGTGGAATTCACAATCTTGCTCGCAAGTCGGTAAATTTATTTGCAAAGAAATCGGTCCCCAGTGTTTGGTACAATATCTCAAGGGTCAATCATGACATTGAGGGCACTAGTATCAATTTTTGTTCTCTTTTTGATATCCATGTTAAATTTGGTTCGACCAGTCTTTTCTGGTATGATAAATGGATCAGGTTCAATACTCTCGCTTCTATATTTCCGTCTTTATTTCTTTTGGACAAGATAAAATCTTGCTTTCTTTCTGAAAGATTGGAGGGTCCTTCATTTCATTGGGCGTGGAAAAGGATTCCGAGTAGTCAAATTGAAACTGATGAGCTAACTGCTTTAAATAATTGTTTGGAGATAGCAGCTATTTCGATTGGTAGTGACACTTGGAGATCGAAGTTATCCTCAGATGGGCTTTTTTATGTGAACGATCTTCGTACTTTGATTGATTCAAAAATCACAATGTCGGTTTGGATCAATATGGTTCCTTTAAAAGTCATTTACTTCTCTTGGTGTGCTTGCTTGGATCGCATTCCTTCTGCGACCACTCTCTCTCGTAGAGGAATCAATATTATTTTTACGGGATAATGACTTGAGAGGGTAACATACTTTTGAATTTGATCACATTTGGTCACTGAACATTTTTTTGTGCTCTATGAACCCCTTAACTTGTTGAATTGTGCTAATTTTCCCCTTCCGACTGTTTTTTGCTGGTTTCAATGGATTTATTAATCCTACGTGTCAGTTTGATCCTACGTGGCATGTAGGGTTCTTATTATTAAAGGAGTGGCATTTGTTGTTCCTTTATTGTGCCCTAATACCCCGTTGCCCTAATACCCGATGGCTTCCTCCTACAACTTCTCATCCTCCCTCAATCGATCAAGCAAGAAATCCACAGTGAATGATCCAAAAACTTGTGATTGTGGGTTCCCTGCACGTATTCTAACATCAACAACACCAAAGAATCCAGGGAGGCATTTCATGGTGTGCAATGAGGTAAGCAATTTCACTTAAATTGTCCCTCTTTTCTGATTCATTTATTCCAGATTTGAAATCTCACTTTGAAATCTTATTGTGGAAGGGTAAATGCAAATATTGGAGATGGTTGGATGTAGAACTTGTACAAATGCCTCTAATGGAAGTGGTGGAGGGAATGAAAGCTAAATTAGTATCATTGAAGACCGAAGTAGAGAAGGTGAAGGAAGACATGGAACAAATGAAGAAGGAAAAGTACTCTGATGCCATTGCAATGAAGGAGAAAATATATAAGTTTACCATTGGATTTCTTTTTTTGATCATCGTGTATATGATGAAATGAAGTCAAATGATGTATTGAAAGATGTTGTTTGAATAGAATAGAGTTGTTATCTTAACTTCTTGTTGGAATGGACTGAAGTAACATTGATTGTAATGGAATCACAAAGAAGTAATTTTGACTGGAATGTAATTATAAAGAAGCATACATATTAACTGCATGCATATTAACTTTCATTGGAATGTAATCACAAAGAATGGAGCCATTATCTCAACTTCTTGTTGGAATGGAATGAAGTAACTTTGACTGGAATGGAATCACAAAGAAGTATTTTTGACTGGAATGGAATCATAAAGAAGCATACATATAACAATGAATACATATATGATTTTGACTGGAATAGAATCACAAAGAAGGATACATATAAAGAATTAGTTTTGACTGGAATAGAATCACAAAGTAGCATACATATAACAATGAATACATATAATAAAAAAGTAAGTGAATGTGGTGGTTGGATTCATTGAAATACTCCATTAATATTCGAAATTAAATAAGTTTTTGTCTGCATACACAAAAGTAGTTTCTAGGTAACACAAAAGATTCCTGCATAGACAAAAGAAGGGTCACCATGTGCCCATACACCTACTTGATAGTACCATAGAAAAGCATAATAAAAAGACTACTACTTTGTCTTTACATCACAACTTCCTTACAAAAGATATTCCTACCCACCCACTAAATTAATCAATAACTGAAGGGTTATCTGCATTGCTCCCAACCATAGGTATCTGCCTCCTTAATGCTTGTTTGATGATCCGTTCAGAATATTTCCTCCTTCCACTTCTACTAACTGGGACCCTTCTTCTTGGCATGGGGACTGCAGGTGGTGGTGGAGGAGGTGGTTGGGCTGTAGGTGGTGGTCCTTCATTGCCCCTGGATAAAATTGGGTCTGCTCCATTGCCCCTGGATGAACTTGGTACTGCAAACAAAAGTTAAAATGTCAATTCTTTGTTCAAATGATGTAATGTTTTTAAAAATATTCACCTGGTGTATTGCTTTGCTGGTTAGATGGACACTTTTTCTTGTTGTGACCTGGTTCCTTACAAATACCACACTTTATTATGCTTCCCCTTCTTGAGACAGTTTGTCTACTTGGTCCAGTCAACTCTCATTCAATTGCATCCCTCTTCCTTTTCACTGATGGCCTACCAGGTAATCTTCTTCTTTTGGGAGGCAAAGGCTTATGGTATGGAACATCTGGCCACATATCACTACTATTGAGAGGATTAATGCTATATTTGTAGCATTTTAGGTAAGCCTCAATAGTGTATGATTGGGACACATATGTCTCTACATCATGATTTAAGTAAGAGATTGCTGCCACTCCATGTAAGCATGGTATCCCTGTAAGTTGCCATATTCTACAGGCACACTTCTTTGCAATTAGATCCACTCCATATGCAACATCAGGGAATCTAACCTCATACTTTTGATAACCACAAGGAGTAACTCCCCACAATCTGTTTAAAGCAAAAAATATAAATCAATAACACATCCTCATAATTAACATAAGCATATTAAAGTAAAAAAACTTGCCTCTGTTTAACCTTCAGATCTTCTATACGCTTCCTAATAGTTGGGCATATAAGCAAACCCCGTTCCATTCCTTCAACTCTCTAAGTGTATATCCTTTCCATCACAAATAACCTAATCTCCTCCAGCATAGTGATTATAGGTCTCCTTCTAGCATGCCTAATAGCATAATTGAAATTCTCACTGACCCCATTCTCCACTGCATCACAATCTCTTCATTCTTGAAAGAATGCCTTAGACCAGGTAGTAGGATCTCTGTTTATAAGGTAATCATAAGCATGAGTATCAATACTCCATTACACCTCTGAACTTCTCCACAGTACTAGCCCTTACAGCCCTCCAAAATAACTTTATGTATTCTTCACCAGTAAACCTTTTATTAAAATTAGCTACAATGTGTCTAGCACATTGCCTATGTTCAGCTTCTGGACATCTTTCCTTAACTGCTTGTAATAACCCCTACAAATCACAACATCATTATGAGTGAAAAAGCATAAAAATGACCTAGTACTAACCTTGTGTCCATCAGAAAGAAGGGTAATGCCTGCACCAAGACCACCATTAATGTCATCCATAAGCAAATCTATGAACCACTTCCATGTTTCTTTATTCTCAACACATACCACAACCCATGCTAAAGGGTAGATGTGGTTGTTTGCATCTCTCCCAACAGTTGAAAGAACTTCTCCTCTAACTATACCCTTTAAAAAGCAACCATCAAGCCTAATTACAGGCCTGCACCTTTCTAACCAACCATCCCTTACAGTTTTGAAACACACATAAAACTTGGAAAACAATGTTGTGGAATCTGTCATGATGTCTACATCCAATCTCACAGTAGACCCAAGATTTGACCTGATAATTTCCTCACCATATGACCACAATCTCCCATAATGTTCAATTAGACTTCCTTCAATCTCTTGTAATGCAAATTTCTTTGCATTTCTGCATTGCCCCACACTCACATTTATGTTGAATGTTGTTGACACTTTAGCTTTCATCATCCTTGCACTCATTTTTGGGTTCTCTATAATTTGACTCATAAAATGTTTCCCTATCCATCTATAAGTTACAACTGACCCAAAATTAAACACCCTACAACAATTATGTTCATTCACTAGAGATTTGATCTGAAAAGTCTTTTCTTTACTCATCCAGAAGGCCTATAGTCTGAAAGGGCAAGATGGTGACTTATTCTTTTTGTAACATTTCACTAACAATCTATCAGAGTCATTTTTGTCAAACCATAGATCATACCCATTAGCAACTGCATAATTGCTTAACATATGTTTAAGCTCAGTAGGGTTAGAAAATCACATACCTATAATTGGTTTCATCTGATCCCATGGTTGTCTCTCATCATACACAGGGTACTGGGGTGGCACGTATTCATCATCTTGATCTTCACTCTCTGTAGGTTCACAAAGGATGTTTAAAAATCTATCATGTGCAATTTTGTTTGCTGGAAATGGATAGGTAGCATCATCTTCTTCATGATCAACAGAATATGAATCTTGAATATCTGAATCCTCATCTTCATCTAAGTCTTCGTTTTCACTTTCACTTTCCTCAGCCTCAATCCAGTCGAAGATAGGTTCATTATGGTGATCCACATAAACATTCATTCTCTTGTCATTAGCATACGCCAAATCCAAAAATTCCTTGTAATCACCCTCGTTCACCAGTGTATGAATTCCAAGACCTAAAGACTCTTGTGGAAGGCAGAAATAAATGTCTTTGCTTCTCGATTTGGTGAGCTTGTGAAGGAATTCCATGAATTGCTCATACCCAAACCCACTGAAGTCAACATCTCGCACTGATGCTCTGTCGAGATCAAAGTAAACTAAGGGATTGGGGGAAAACTGACCATTGTAGTGGAAATCTACTACAATGAAGTTCTGATCAGTAGGATTTGGAGATGATGCCATTCTACAGAACGATTGAAGGAGACGAATGATCGTTGGAGAATTTTGTGCCCAAGTCGAGTTTAAGGACCAAATGAGACTTCGGGGTGTGGTTTAACTAGAAGGAGACGAAAAATCGGGGCCTACATGCCACCTCTTTCGCCACGTAAGATAAAAAAATACATGTAGGATCAATAAACCCTTTAAAACCGGCTAAACCCGGTCATAAGGGGAACATTAGCACAATTCAACAAGTTAAAGGGTTAATAGAGCACGAAAAAAAGTTCAGTGACCAAATGTGATCAAATTCAAAAGTATGTTACCCTCTCAAGTCATTATCCCTTATTTTTACATTTTGTTACATGTGTAATACAGGTGAAGGTAATACTGACCATATTTTTTTGGGTTGTCCTTTTGCTCAAGATGCCTTGGTTATAATTCTTACATGTTGTAGCATTTCTTCTTCTCAAATTGTCACAGGTTGTTGATTTGGTTAAATTTGCAACTCATTGGGGGTAATTGTCCCAATAAAAGAAAGATCCACTTAGTTATTATCTATGGTTATCTTTGGGGTGTTTGGCGGACCCGTAATTACAAGATTTTTAATAAAGATTGTATTTCTACGTTAAGATTGGAGGATAATATCATAACCATGATGTTCACTTGGATGAAGGATAGGGATAAATTTAAAAATTACAATTGGGCTACTTGCTTTCGACATTTTGTAATTTTTTTTCGTGTCCTAACTTGTACTTTTAGGTTGTGGATTTTCTAATATAATTCCGTGGTTTCCAAAATATAAATGATGGAAGCGACATTATTTGTTTTGAAGTGAGTCGCAAACTAAAAAAATAAGGGGCAACTGGCCTCTTAATTGATTAGCATTTATAAACGGGAATAGGACTTGTTAAGGTAATTAACTTTTCGGGTTTTTCACATATAGGTAACTATCTTTTTTTTGTACACATCTAGGTAACAAATTTTTTGGAACTGTTCACATATGACCATTATGACCTGGTGTAGCAGGTTACATCCAGCTACAGCAGGTCATAATGGTTATATGTGAACAGTTTCATCAAGTGGTTACCTAGATGTGTAAAAAAAAAACCTTACCTAAATATGAACAAAACGAAAAGTAAGAGTAAATTACATGAATGGTCCCTATGGTATACGGGAATTTGTGCATTTGGTCCCTAACTTATTCTTTTTAACTCGGATGGTCTCTACTGTTTATTTTTGTTGCGCTTAGTCCATGTCTTACCTAAAAAGACTATTATGCCCTTATTAATTTGTTTTTTTAATTAATTTTCTTATTTATGTTTTTTATATGTTTAAAAAAATTAATAGACCCCACATATTTGTATCTCCTCACCGTAAATCTAAAACCACATTTGAAAATTTTAATTTAGGTCCTACCGGTCACCATCCCATCTCATATCCTATTCAACCTCTATTTTCTTTCAATCTTTAGTGACATGGAAATCTTCACCATCCTTTTTTTTGTCATTCAACTCTGGCGAACAAACACCATAACCCACGGTCTCTTCACTTTATTGGGTTGTGGTGTTGGTTCGCTGAAGTTGAAGGACCGAAAAGGAATAGATGGTGAAAACTTTGTTGTCATTAAATATGGAAAAGATATAAAAGTTTAGGATGATGAAAGATAGGATGGTGAGGAGATACAGATATGTGAGGTTTATTAGTTTTTTTAAACATATAAAAAAAATACATAAATAAGAAAATTAATTTAAAAAAATTAAATTAATAAGGACACACTAGTCTTTTTAGGTAAGATATGGACCAAACACAACAAAACAAAACAATAGGGACCATCCGAATTAAAAAAATAAGTTAGAGACCAAACACATAAATTCCCCCAAACCACAGGGACCATTCGTGTAATTTACTCTTACTTTTGGTTTTGTTCATATTTAGGTAACTATTTTTCTTTTGTACACATCTAGGTAACGAACTTGTTGAAAGTGTTCACATGTAACCATTATGACCTACTATAGTTAGAGGTAACTTGCTACAGCAGATCATAATGGTCATATGTAAACGGTTTCAAAAAGTTTGTTACCTAGATGTGTACAAAAAAAAAAAATAGTTACCTACATGTGAACAAACCGAAAAGTTAATTACTTTAATTAATCTTATTCCCTTTATAAACCAAATATACAGAAATAACCTATAGACTATTTTTCTTTATTCACATACTATCCAAGGAATAGAAAGAGTCCTTCAACTCTTCTCCCTTATTTAGAAATTAACTATCCATCTTTCATTTCTATTAAAATTTTATCGTTTTAAAATGTTAAAAGTTTAACCCCTATTACTTCATCATTTATATGTATTTCAATTTTATTAAAATTATGGGTTCGTTTTAGTTTCTCCAACTTTCTTTTTTACAATCTTTTTCCAACTTATATTTTCTTTTTAAATATGGTTAACGTAAGCTTCATATTGATATTTTCGTGTATTTTTACAAAAGAAATGTATTTTCTTGTAAAAAAAATACTTTGCCAAGAAACTAAGGTTGAAAAATATAAAAAATAAAATAAAAGATTACAGCAACATGTAGATGCTCCACTAGTTTGGAAACAAAAATTGTTATAATTTGGATGATAATTGATAAAAAAAATTATCATCATAATAAGCAATAGAAGGCAACATCGATTTTTTTTTAAATATAATTGTTTTCTGAAAATAAAAATAAATCACAATAATTATATCATAAAGAAAATACACATTTTTTATATAATGTATCAAATCTCTTTATTCTAATTTATTGTTACATGTGATTTTTTATCTTATAACTTTCAAAGTGATTGTCATTTAAACTTTAAAATGTCTTAAAATTTCAAATTCAAACAATTATAATTATAATAAGTATATGTTCATAAACAAAATCCCAATAAATCAAGATTATGATTTCCTTCAAAATAGTCTCTATAAAATCAGGTCACTTATCTCCTCCAATTTCACTTCTTTATTTTTGGAACCTTTGATTACCATATACTTATTATAAGAAATAAATTTGAATTGATCATTGAAAAATTTTAGTTTTTATATGGAGCATTCCATAAAATCAAAAATAATTCATCAAAAATATCAACATAAAATTAGTAACTCCAAATTTGATAGTCAGATCTCTCATTAAAATATTAATTTACAAATTAAATATTATTTGTTTTTGATTTATTAGTTTATATTTATATACATAGATTTGAATTTTTATTGTTTATTTTTTTTTATAATAAATCATTTACTATGTATTATTCTTACACGAATATTAACCAAGGACCAAGGTTTACATAATATAATGGCCACTATAAAATTGACGGTGCTTATGTTATCTAGTGTGTACCGTATATTAATTTACCTTTTCTCAAAGGGGAAATATTTCTTTTCATCTACAGGCACCTTTTTGTAGTTTTGTTATATTCATAAAAGAACACTATTACTTTAAATATTTTGAACACTGCATGAGATTGCAAAATCTATTATGTTAAATTAAATAAGATTTTTTTTTTTTTTTATCATTTGTCACACTTTTATTTAATTTTTTAAATTTTATTTTATAGTTATTTAAAATTAATTTTTTTCATATGTTATTTTATGAGTTTTTCTATTTTATTAAATTTTACATAATATTTTAATATAATAATTCAATGAATGTAGAAATAAATAGATGTTATTAATTTCACTAATAAACATACCTTTTAATTTCAAACTTCCCAAAATTAAAACTGATTAGTTTTTTTTTATTTAAATTATTTGTTTAAATTTAAAATATAAAAAACATTTATATTATAATAAATCATGATTTTTCTTATTTTTTATGAATTCATATATATATATATATATATATATATATATATATATATATATATATATATATATATATATATATATATATATATATATATATATATATAACAAATAACGAAACATGTGAAAACTGAAATGAATATATATTGAAGAAAAAAAATTTTGGGATGAATTACGTTATTGCAAAAGTGAAAATAGTAAGATGAGACGTGTGAATATGGAATATATTATTTCAAGAAAATACGTGTTTGAATCATTGAAGGAATTACGCAATGCTAAAAAAATCAAACTAGACAGAATTCGGGCAGACAATTTATAATGATGGATTGATGGATTACAACCCATATTCACACCTGACGTAAGATGCATCTTACCGGGATTTTCTAAATAAATTTAATTAGATTGCATGTATCATAAAAATGATGAAGGAAGATTTTTTTTATCATATATTCTTTGGATATATGATATTTTTTAATATTTTTAAATTTTTTTTTCTTAATTATCATTTTATTATATTTTCATTTTATTAAATTAAAATCTCACATTTAATATGTAAGGTAATATATATGTAATGTATTTATTAGAAAATATTTATATATATAATTAGGGGTGAGTATAATAACGAAAAACCAAATCATAACCAAATTAACCGATATAACAGAACCGTTTTAAAAACCGTTGGTTCGGTTTCTAATTTTTGTTAACCGATAACAAACAGTTTCGTTATGGTTTTAGAGGTTAACCGAACCATTATTAACCGAACCGCTAACTTTATATTTTAATACATAAAAATTATGGATTATATATAAAATAATATTGTCAAACTTATTTAAGATCCATTAAAATTTCAAAATATAATTCATTAATCCTCACTTATGAGGAGACGAACGTGCAATCAAACCATCAAAAGATGATCATGTAGATCATGCAGACACACACAATTTTCCAGTCATGCATTGAGTTAGATTATTGATTAATGCTATAATTCTTAATTGATTAATTCTATAATTTGTAAAGATTATTCACAATTAGTTTAATCTTCACACTCATAATCCTAATCGGAGACTTTTCACATCGTTAATCCTAATCAAAGATTGTTTTGACTTTATAGTTCTATTCTAAGGATTTTTTTAATTTATAATCAAAACTTCTAGGTAAGTTAAGTTTTTGGTTCTTCTTCACTTTGTGATATA